TACAGACAACCTCTCGTCAATATGCGTTTTCTGCATTGCATAGCTGCAAAAAACGCATAAAAACACACAGCGGCACGCAGTAGGATAGATGGTGCGATCATGCGTTTTGTGCAATTCTGTTCAACGAATGTCTCCCGTCAGAAATGTCCACTCTCTTGCTGCTTGGCACCTGCAGTAGTCGGGATGCTCTGTTCGGCTACAATTTACATTTTTCTGTATGTTAGATCTAATATAAAATTTGCGCAGGCGCACACGGACAGGAAACATCCTCTTGAAATTTCAACTTCCTGCCTTTCTGTTCCGAAGATGGCAAATCTTCTCCCAAAGTGTAAGCGTTCGGATGCTTGTGGAAGCGAAATCTACAATTTCCAGCGTCACACATAGGCGCCTAACATCCTCTTGAGCTTCCAATTTTTCTGGTCTTCGAGTTAGTAATTTTCCGGTCAAAACCCCAAGTTCCCATGCGTTAGGCCTAGACGCACGTGAAAACTGAATCTGAAATCTTTAGGTGCACACAAACACTGAACATCTTCATAAAATTTCAACTTCCTAATACTTATAGTTCCCGAGTCAGCAATTTTCGCGCAGAACTTTCAAGTCGCCATGTGTGAGACATAGACGTAAATGAAGGCTGATTTTAAATTTGCGGGAGCCGAACGTGGACAGAGAGAATTCTAAAATTCCAGCTTCCCAGTTTTTCAAATTATAAGATTTCGCGACAAAATTTTCAAGTGATTGTACGTGAAACCCAGCCACACGCGGGGATCAAATTTAAGTCTGCAAAATTACGTACAGACACAGGATTCATCGTTCCAAACTTTCAGCCTCCCAGCTTTGGTTCCCAATTTGAAAAATCCGGACAAAACGCACACGGAGCACACAAACACACACTGACAGAGTCTCGACGACAAGCGTTCTGTGCAATTGTTGCAGCACAAAACGTATAATTAGCTTAACGCTAACACAAAGATCAGAGAGACGAATGTTAAACATCAGCAAGTTGCAAAAGGTACAGACTGTGGTCATATAATGTAAAAGATACAATACGGGAAAGTACGCCAAGGAGGAGCTAGGCTGGTAATGTAGCAAGATAACAGATAACAGATGGACAAAGCGAAGAGCTGAATGGTAATCTTGAAGTGCTGGGTGAAAAGCGACAAAGCGAAGAGCTGAATGGTAATCTTGAAGTGCTGGGTGAAAAGCAAGAAGGCCGTCGATACGCTGGGTTAATCCATTATCTTAACTGCATAAAGTGAAAAACACAAGATCGCAGTCGGTAAAAAGTTGTCGACTGCACAAAGGGGTTTTATGAATTAAAAGCTGCTTTAAATTCTGAACTTTAAAAACTGTTGGTTGTAAATGAACAAAAAAAAAAAAAAATCTAAAGTGCTATGCTTTGCGTTTAACTGCTTCGCATCAACTGGTACTCTTAATAGAAGCTCTGTCGTAATAAATGTTAATGGTAAAAGCGTAATGACAATATCAGTGACTAGTGTGTCGTACTAAAGTGGTATCAGTGACAGGCATTTCGATAAGCAAATATGGGTATTTCTGTAAGCATGTAAAGAGCCATTTGTATAGATTTTTTTCCGACGTATACAGTTAGGGCTTTGGGGAGCCACGGAGAAAACACACCTTAAGTCCAATAGCAAAGGAAATGGGGCATCGGATAACAAATACTGGCATCAAGCACATATGAAGACGAAATGATCTGCAGAAAGGAAGCGGGAACAGCCGTCTACCGAACGTAGAAATCTAAAAAGTAGCTGGCTTGGCAGGGTGAAAATGAAGAAATGCGGAAGGTAGTGGGGTAGTAAACTGTGGGGTGAAGACGAGATCGCAGAACGTGATCAGTGGTTACTCGAGATAGAAAAAAGTGATGAAAGCTGCTAAATTCACATCATTATTGCCGTTATCATCATCAATAACAACAGCATCTTACAGAAATGATATTCGGGCAAACTATCTGCTGAACAAGAAAGAAAACTGAGACAGTGAACAGTGATCCGATCTACAATGGTGTGTTTCAGGAACAGCCGCTCAACCAGCGTTATTTCCGGAACTGGCGAACGGAGTCCGGAATGGTGTACAGCACCGATAGCAGTAATAAGAAAAAGTGTACTGCGTCTGATCCATGGTTTGCCCTACACAAATGTAATGATACCATCGCGAGCAATTACCTTCACACTGGATCCAACGGACGTTCTCACCTATAAAATCTTCACTTTTGCAGCAGTGAAATAAAACAACTCAGTTTCTGCTTGCAGGTCCACGAGTCCATAAATAACTCGTGTTGAAGCTAAAACTCTCTCCCCCCTCTCCCACGGGTTTGCTTTCTGTCACAGGCGAAGGTGGTCGGAAACAATCTGGGTGTTATCAAACGCCAACAGCAAGCATCTGCTGGCACAGATGTGGCAACAGCCAAAAAAAACCTCTCTGGTCCACTCTCTCTTAAGAGCTGCTTAGCAGCAAGACGACCTGGCAGATGCCAGTACCAATTCACCATTAAAGCGAACGAACAAATCGCAGAGGGTTTGGATGCCTCACTGGTGCAGTCGAGTCGTCGGCCTTCAGTACTAGATCAGCACTACACACTATTGCAACATGCTCACCAGCAAACAGTTTGAGAAAAGATTTCAATCAGACGCTTACCAGAAGGCTTCAAGCAGATATCAGCAGCGCAAGCTTCTGTTTCTCCGAAGTGTTTAATTCGTTTCATATGCCGCCCGGCAGACTGTTCAGACATAATCAAGCCGCGCTTCAGATTTCGATATCGTCTGCTAAGACCAAAACCGGAACCAGAAAACAAAACGCCAGAAAGCTGTATCAAAGGCATCCGCTGCCTAATTTGTTCACAAAGCCTTTTTCTCATCTCCGTGACCGGTTTCACTTGTGTTAATGCAGCGCTGATCCGTTTCCATGCCTCTGACTTCAATATTTCATTGCAGAATACCGGTATCAGACATTCATCGATCCTTTAAAAAAAGTGGTTGTTATTACATTTTATTAACAAGAAGTTCGAACAATATTTTTCCATTAAATAGCAGGACCATCAGCAGGCCAACCGCTAGGTGGCGTGGCAACAGCCAAAAAAACCACTCGAATTCAAGAAAAAATTAGGCCCTCTATGTGAGAACACGCGGAAAGCCGCCGATGTCGTGATAATGCCCGCGCAAACAGCTATACGGAACTGTGTGGATGAGAGACCCAAAACAGAGAACAGTGGAGAATACCAGCTGCACCAATAGGGCGAAGAAACGCGACGAAGAAACATCAGCCTATGAAATTATGCTGCACCACTGTCGCATTTTTTTTTCGTTGCAAACGGCTAAAATTGAATGCGAAAAAAATACTTTTTGCAAAGGGCTGTATCATCAATGACATTACCACCAGAGAACTGCTCGATGCATTTCAAGGCCTCTCCATAGACCAGTTCGGTCTGATTCAACGCACACTCCACCAGCACACGTTCCAATGATGGCAAAGCAGTCTCACACAGACTTTTCACATCTTCAAGAAGTGGCCGACGGCTACGCAGGCATCGTACACAAAGATAATAGCCGACAGGAAGATGCTCCATGAACCATTCCCACTGCACACATGATGCTAAAAAATATCCAAAATTCAGTTTACCAGCTACATGCTTGTTAAATCTAAGTCATTGATTTCTAGTTGCATTTTATGACACGTCTTCGGAATGATATTCCTGAAATCAATGTGAACACCAAAAAAGACCCTAGAACCAAGAAATGCTAAATTTGAATGAAGCAGCAGGAGACAGTGCACAGCAGCCGACTAGTAAAAATCATAATTGGAACCAAACAAAAACTCACAATGATATTTGGCGTGGCAGAGCAAACAACTAAGAAAAGCACAGTTGTCTGCTGGTGCTTCTGCCTGAGTATGACCAGCGCAGAGACAAGTCTCACTAACCGAACGCGCATCGTTTGCTGTCCGCAAAGCCACCATTAGTTCGCGCTGCTTAGTAAATACCGAACTGATGTGATTCTTCTAAAATTCAAGCACTGTTATTCTTCAAGGACAAAAGTGCAAACTACGTAATACTGATTATGCGTTTTTGCATTTATGCAAATGCAAAAACGCATACTGTGACGACCCCAGTGTGTATATGTGTGTCTGTCCGGGTATTTCAACCCGGCACCCAGACAAGCACAGGCGCCAAAATTTTGTCGGTGGTTTCCCCGGCCAAGTGCCATTCCAGGACCGCGGTACCAACCCTCACACACGTCTAGGCCCTGCGCACAAGCGCGTGAAAGTTCTGGCAGGAAAACCGCAAAGTCGGGGACCAAAAAAGCTAGAAAGCTGAAATTTTATGTTATGTCCCCCGTACACATAGAACTCAAAGGTTTTTAATTCAGACCCCGGGTGTACGCTGTTCTCAAGTACGGTCCCGTGAAGGGAGCTTCTCACGTGTGCCAGAATTTACTGACATAATATTCCTTAGCCACGAAAAGACTAAAGATATGGCGGAAAAATCGCTAACTTGGGATCCGGGAAAGCCGGGAGACTGAAATTTTAAGGGACTGTTCCCAGACCATGCAAAACTTAAAATTATCAATTTCAGCCCCTCCGTGTGCGTGGTTTTCATGTAAGGACCGAAAAAATTTTTGGCGGAAAAATGGCTAGCTCGGGAACTAGGAAAGCTGGGGCTGAAATTTTAGGATTATTTTCTCGGCGCCCGTAAATATCAAAGATATCAAATTCAGCTCCCAGATACGTGTGGTTCTTACGCACGGACCCATGAAATTTTTTGGCAGAGGAATGCTAACTCAAGGACCAGAAAAGTTGAAAAGCTGAAATTTTAACGGAATGTTCCCTGTCCAAATACCGCGTAGACAATTACTTCCTTTCAGAGCGATCTTATTACAGCACGAAATACTGCAAGCGCGCATTACCGTACAGGTCCGCCCGATGCGCGACGTCAATGATTTTTGGATGGCGCAGTGAATGGTTGAATAACCCAAGAGAGGAGCAGTCCAGAGCAAATTGAGAGTGACAGCATCACGCTTCACAATGTCTACCCAAGCAGCTTTGCATATGAAATACCAAAACACAATAGAAATCTATTAGATCATGAACTGACATCAAATCAGGTCAAATTTCTTCAGACAGTTTAGGAGTGCCTAATAGCAGTTCATGGACTCCCCGAACATTACTCCCACATCTTCCGTACTATTCTCCATTTGCTCACGTATATAATATATATGCATGTGTATGTACGTGAGCAAAGCGAGGACTGTGTGTGTTTTGTGTCTGCTTCTGTATACATACATATATAATACATAAATAAATAAATAAATAAATAAATATATATATATACATATGTGTATACAGAAGCAGACACAAAATACACAGTCTTCCAGAGTTTGCAACAATCAGCTGAGACGGAGGCCAAAAAAATTAATGATCAATGGATGAATGTAAAGTGAAAGTCCAATGTCTGTGAGTATTTTCAACGCAAACATACTTTTACAGCTGACAAGCAGACTGTACAAATTAATATGTGACGCAGAAACGTTAAGAAGAACCTAAGCTTTACTTGAATTTGTCTCCCTTTCTACGTTCCCAGTTTCATCATTCACTAATAATTATCAACTACTAAAGCAGAATATGACATAGATAAAGATTTACTTCTTGCATGTGAACAGAACAAAACTTGTATGTCATTTAAAACCCGGGAGCAGGTCTTTTTACTACAGGGCAGTCCGAAGAAATTTCAGGCTCGCTTAGTCTGCTGTTTTTAAGTCGCAGAGAATGAATGACACTCTGTGCAAGCACGATTCTAAAATGCAGTGGAAATTTTCGGTTTCAGCGCTGCAATATTAACAAGAAATTTGGTTTTTCGGCTTCACACTATCGACCCTTGCTGCTTCAAAGGCAAAAATGAACAGAAACAAAATCTGTGGATGCATCCGTATGGCTGTGTTGTTCGAGCATGAAAAAAAAAAAAAAAAAACAAGGAAGGTGCAATTGAGCAGGGGAGGAGGCCAATGAAGAGAACGGAACTAAGGAGATTCGCTGTAAGCGACAGAATTTTTCTGACTTTTGGAGCTTTCTAGTTAAAAGCTGGTTTGCATTGAATGTTTAGTAAGGAAGAGCACATGACAGAATGACAGGAGAAAAAGGAAGCCAGCGAAAAAGCAGCTAATAAAACTGAAGCAATTGACAAAACACAGACATCTATGCTTCGGATGTTTATAGGTTTGTTGGAACCATTGGAATTTTTTCCTCACGTGTGCCAGAATTTAATGGAATAATAAGAAGCCAGATGTGGATAACTTACAAGCTGTTCCACGGACTCGAAACTTTCAATATATGTCCAATCTTCGCGTATCGAATATGCCTTGAACGGGCTAAGCGGCATTGGAATGCCCTCAATTAATTCGGCCAAATCGTCGCGACCAGTTAGTATCTAAAAAACCATTAGGAGAATACTGCAGGAGTGGGAGAACAGTACTCTCTTGAAGACGAGCACTTGAGAGCAATTTTCAAACAGCTAGAAGCAAACAGTAGATGAAGTTACAGTAGTAAAAATCTAGCAAATATCACTTAAAAAAAACGAATAAGATGATGCAATAAACGGAAAAAAAGCTACTCTCACTAAATTCCAGAGACGGTGTGCGTTGGGGGAAAATTCGTACACACCCATGAAAAAATTTTATTTTTAGTTTTGACTTGATGAAAGAACACACACACACATACACGCAAAACGCACAGGCCATGCGCATACATATAAGAGATAAGGGACTGAATTATGTGCATTTCGGGAAGAAAAATACCTCAAAAATGTTGTAATAGGAATTCCGCAGATAAAACATATTACAAATTCGTTGACAAAAACAACGAATGCCTTCACGACGTTCTTCAGCACAGGCGTGAGCAGGTGAATTCCTCATTATAAAGGATTTTCTTATACTGTACAATACATCATCAAAAGTCTTCAAAGTGCAATTTTCGCTTCCTGGAAATGTGTTTTCTGTAGAATCATATAGTTATACGAGAAGTCAGTCGTATCCATCGGCAGATTTCATAGCATCGATGATGCCTTCAAAGTGCCGAACCGAAAGGACCGGGCTGCTTACAGAACGTGATCACTGAGGGAAGTTATGATAGCATTCACTTCGCAATGATAACTGACTAGATATAAAAAACGTGCCTTGCAAGCAATGCAAATTTCTGGAAATATTCTTAGCCAGTTGAAGCTCAGCTCGGAACTTATCCAAAGTATCGTCTGACATCCAGTCAGAGATCTCCAAGTCTGCCCACAGTTTTTCTGCTGCTTCCAGTCCAATTCCTTCATTGCTGATATTTGTTAAGAAATTTTCGGCCTACAATGGCTATGTTGAAAGAAAAAACTAGTAATATTTATTTTTAACAGTCCCATGCTAAGATTTTGGAATCAACCTTCTTGGTAACCAAACAGATAAACAGGAGGTTCCTTTAACCTATTGCAGAAGATAATGAACCGCAACAGAATGGCCAGCGCACCGAATGCCGGTGCAAAAATGCGTTTTTTACGTTGTCCCCGCCAATTTCTGTCGCTAACGGCACTGGTTTTTCCGGCAGATGCTTCTAGCTAAGAGAATTGAGACTGGACACCAGGACTGTCAGGAAACATCCCTATAAAATTTCAGCTTTCTAGTTTCCTAGCTACCGAATTAGCAATTAACCCGCAAAAAAATTCACGGGTTCGCACTTGGGAACCACGCAAACCCGAGGGCAGGGTTTGAGCTTACTAACACCTGCGTGGACGGGGAACATACCCTTAAGATCACAGTCTTCTAGCTTTTCAGGTTTCTGAGTTAACAAATTACCTATAAAACAACTTTCACGGGTACATACGCGGGTACCAGGCGGACAAGAGCGTCCATTTTGGGAATGGGGGCCCATACATGCGTATAAATTAACTTCTCAAAGTTCCAGCCCTGTAACTTTTGTACGTCTCGAGATGAAAAATCGGTACAGATGAACATATAAACACACACACAAACACAGACAACTCCTCGTCAATATGCGTTTTCTGCACTGCACAGACGCAAAAAACGCATAACAAACTGAGTAATTGTTTTGATGAGCAAGCCCCAGTTTATGATGCAGTTGGCTGATAACTTCCTTGATCCGCAAGTCGCTTCCCAAAAGCGATGTTCCCTGTTCCAAAAGAGATACCACAGTTTGCAGTTTCCATCTACCTTTCCCATCATTCGTGTGGTCATCGCTGTTTTCACTATCCGAATCTACTAATTTCAATCGTTTCCAGTTCAAAAGTTTATGTGCACGCTTTAGCCACTGGCATTTGAGCAACACCTGAAATAACAGAGTTATTCAATCACTACGATTTCTAACAAACTCAACATTCCAACATATCTGCGCACTGCCCAAAAGTATCATTTCTAGATAGCGAAGTCAGAAAAAAACCTCCACTTACTTTCTACAAGAGATGAAGACACTTAGGAGGAATGATAACTCATACCACCATCAACCACCTCCTGGCAAAGCAGTGTGGACCCTATGTCTATCATGCAACTACTCGAACTGGGAGAATGCACATATCCTCATAAGCTACCGAATAGGAGAACTAGAATAGCCCCAATCGGCGATGATATCAAACAAAAACGAAGTGATATTTCGTATCTGATCAACGTGATCAGATGAGATGACGAACAAAAACTATAAAAAAGGTACATTTTCCAAGAACTGAGTTTCCGCCAATTTGAAATTAAAATCATTTGCTTCATCAAGTAACCGCTTGGCAGGCTCAATATACAAGTCGTAATTCTCTAGCATATCTCCTGTTTTGACCAGAAAACCAGAGCAACGATTCCGCCAGCTCGTTAGACGAACCATAAAACACTAAAAAGTCTATGCAATAGACCTTGTGAAAGAAAAAATTACAGAAATGAAGCAAAATTGACCAAAGCACTCAGGCCCTCCAAAATCAACAAAAGTTCTTAAGTCAAATGCCAAGATCCCTCCTGCATTCGCTTTCTGTGAGTAGCGGAAACACTCGGGTAGCCTGAGTGGCGACGAATGGTAACAGCAGCCCACCGCTGGCAAGGCCATCGATAGCTTCTTCTTCAGGTGCTGTTTACAAGCAAGCTGATGGCAGGTTCGTCTCCTTGGCATACGCCTGTATCAAATCACCGGCGAAACGAATGAACGAACTATAAAGGGGCTCGTTATTTCACAGGCAGAGTCGAATCCTTTGTGTTCTGCACAACAAACAACAGCGCTACTTTGACTGCGCTATGTCCACTAGCTCTTGCTTAACGAAAAGCTTATGAAGCAACACACACCGGGGTTTCCGGTGCGACTATGCGTCTTCGTAACCCGAATTTCGCCGTATTCCCATGTCAGACGTTAACGAGTGTGAAAAATGTCATTACGTTTTCGTATCTCACAGAATCAGGCGGAATTCTCATTAAATTCCCTACCTACCTAAATGCCGAGAGAAAAGAACGGCAGCGTTGCAATTTAAACATTTTGTGTCTGTACGCCAGGCAGTTGCATAAGCAAAAGCCTACTTCACGCGTGCTGGCTCTCACATGAGCAGCAAACATTCTCAGAAAAAAATGCTTCCTGCTCAATCTGGCTATCGAGTTATATTTGTGCGCATGCAAAATCTAGACGAGCTTTAAAGACGAATTTGAAATATTTAGATAGCACACTGGTGTAGAACATCCTCGTAAAGTTTCAGGCCCCTAATTTGACTGGCTGGCGAATTCGCTTTTCGTTGCAAATATTTTTTTAGCGCGCGAACACGCGAAACAGACGTATACCAAAGCTCATTTTACGCTTACGTGCCAAAGTATGAAAAACAAATAATATCGTAAAGTTAGGGAACTCTACTCAGCTTAGTGCGCCAGTTAACATCTTGTCAACGATGTCGAACCTCAACCTCGACGTTTCCGTACAAGTGATCTAGATATATGCGATAGCTGCACTGGAAGCGCTTAGCTCTTACAAGTACATAGAAGACCCCTGTGAAATTTCAGCCTCGTACCTTTTCCGGCTCCCGAAACTGTTCTTCCGCCAAAAAATTTGCATGTATACTTTCCGGTGCCCGCAAGTGCGAGCGAATGATAATTTTCAGAAGGGAGAAGGGAATGCTCCAAAATTTCAGCTTTCTAGCTTCCCTCGTCTTTGAGTTGAAAGTAGGTGACAAAAAGTGCGAACACACACACATACGCACAGACAACCTCTTGCCAATATAAGTTTCTGCATTTGCATAAGTATGTAAAAACGCATAAAAAAAAATGTGGTGCATGCAGTATTCCAAGCAGCAACCATTATATCGTTCCTCAAATCAGATACAGAACATGGTAGACTATCGACATCCAGCCCGATGCTTTGCACGTCTCTTTCATCAATCACAGGGAAGCTTTCACGCATTCCTAATTGATCCCTGAAACGCAATCACAAAAAATTTGTTTTAAAATACAAAGTAATATACGCTTAAAGCAATGTTTGCTACAGAAGTAAAGCTTATAGAGACAGAACTTTCCGTAAAAAGCCCGCATCACTTTACCACCACAAGTGCGTTACCCAGATTCGTCAGAAATTATTATTTAGGTAGTTATGTCAATCTTAAAGAAATACACTTTTGCTCCAGAATGAGAGACAACAAATGGACAATGCGAAATACTGATATACACGAACCGTTAAAAGAAGAAAAAAAGGACCACCGGCTTGGTGCAAAAGATCTCTTCGAAAACTTATTTAAAATTAAGTGCATAAGGCTCAAAATAAAGGAGAACAAAAAAATTGTCAGCCAAGCCAATAGCGAGAGAGGAAGCGAAGCAGCAGCTCGCGACAGTACCACAGTAATGTATCAAGACAACTATTCTGCTAACTCCTTTAAGAATCAGTGCGCGCATTATCAGGCATATGCAACATTTCGGATGAGCTCTGTTCCATCGCGGACGTGCAACAATTTTTTACAGGCATTCAGCCAAACGCGTAGTAGGCAACGAGACGAAGTGGTGATGCTCAGTATGCAATACTGGCTTCTCGAGAGGCCAAAGCCTTTTAAAGTGCTTCGGCAGAGACAATAGTTGAATTGGAGTATCAAGCCACATAATGAACTTCAAGGATTACCGTCAAGCCGACCACCGACCAACCTAGCACTGATTAAAAGCAACTGGAAGAGTTGCCAGTTGCATAAATGGAGAATGATATTATGAATTACGGCTGATCCAATCAAATAATCAGCCAACGGTTTCTCAAAAAGTTTATTTTTTGCGTGGATTTTTTAAACCTAATCATATTCAATACAGGAAACACAACATCTGTGATCTATGCTCCACGATTTCTGGGCATTCTTTGAAGTAGTTTTTATTCCTAAAAAAAGCTTGCAAAAAGAAAACTCAGCTTAGATGGGAGAGGCAAAGAGATGGCCTGCTGTCTAAAATATTATTTGTTCATCTGGATGAGCAAAAAAACTTTTTAGTGCATACTCCGATAATATAATTGCATCCCGCGCTTGAAAACGGGTACGACAAGTGAGTCACAAGGTCGGCCGACATTGTAACAGTGGAATTGCAACGTAATTTGAGAATTCAAACTACCAAGGATACCAACACTATCCCGCATGTAAATGTTGGGGACCGATTCAAACGATGTCCCTAGCATGCACCTGCAAGCCCAGTGCAACTCTACTAGATTCTTCGGCCTTGAACTCCAGTTAGCATCTAGCCCTTAATCAACGAATATACCATTTTTGAAAATCCTTCCAAAAAGCGCTATTCCATTTCTTTAAGGTACCAATCATTAATGCATGACGTTCTCTAGATGTTGGCAGAAAGACATGTTTTTGTTCATCAGACTTTACTTTCCCGCGCGGTCACAATAATATCCTACAGACTGCGATCTGACAGAGAGACTGACTGCTTATACCGGCACGAAAAGACTCCTCGACCATCCATCGCTCCGCTGTACTCCATCAATCGCCGGCATTAACTCTTTTGCTTTTATAAGTGGCCAAGTTTCGCATTCGTATGCCACTACCTTCAACACAGTGATATTTACAACGTTTTTCCAGCTTTCAGAGCGCCGACGATGGAGCATGGGGTTGTCGCCGAAATAAGAGGAACCCAGTTAAATCCGAAAAAACCCCGAAACTTGGCCATCAGCTGTGCTCTGAAAGAAACCAACAACAAAATCAACAAAAAAAAAGTGGGTCTGATGCGTTCCAAGTCACCTGATCTGTGTACGCTGGCGCATGATTGCCCTTGCACGATTCACAACACGGTCGCACTGCCTGACGATTTCACGCGCTTCCTCACTGACTTCACAGTGTGGGTAGTCAAGCGCTAACGGCGAATCAAGCAATCCTCGCAAGTCTTCCAGTTCTAAATGAAGCAATACAGTAAGGCAACCGAGTGTCAAAAATGATCATTTTCATGAGGAAGCCAAACGGAACAGGTAAATTTTTAAGAAATATGTATTCAGCTTGAAACAAAAGCAGCAGCCATCTGCCGACAAAAGCAACTCTAACTACTAGAAGCAACAAACTCAAAATTATGCTTCATATTATTGATCGTGCACCAAGTCCAGCAAACCTCTAAGGCACAGTGTTCTCGGGCTCAACAGTTGCTTTTTGCCCTAGTCTCAGTTCTGAGGGTTTCTGCTTGGGAACTTATGAAATTTAAGTAGCCCTGTTTCCGTGCTTCCTACAAGTCCACAGTGTCATGCATTAAAGTTTGAGACACTAGAATGGCCAATACGAGTGCACTGTGTCACTGTGCATATTGTATCAAATTCGTTATCTGCAAGTACGGCAGGCGTATCAAAGGAACTACATGCATTTCATGAACACCAAAGTTATTTGGCGCGTTCCATTTATTGGCATGCAACTTTATTATCCATGTGTATTTTGTTGGTTTTTTCGATCCAATTCGCTGCTGCTTGTTGTTAAAACAGTTCAGTGGCAATTGCAGGGTGTGATCGAACGGTACTGCATTCAATATTCAGCTTTCAGTTAGTGCTCGAATCACCGCTTCCAAGAGGTCAACAATTCCCGCGGAATTCAAGTCACCACTCAGTAAGCTGGATATTAACGAAAGTTATAAAAAAATCAGCTCTTGCATTATCTGACACGCAACAATTGCAAAATACCTGGCTTACGGCCGTCTTTGCACTCGCGGAGCAGTAAACAGAGCTTCTCTTGCCAAACCGAAAATTCGTGAGTCTGCCGACGCAAAGCAGTGAGAAGGGAAGTTAATTCACTCGGCAGGAATCGGTATCTATAATTTATATGCAAACCTATTCTGTGATTTTCAGCAGGAGCGATCGATGAACCCACGGAGCATGACCATCAATGCTGCCCCCTTTGTCACTCACATTCCCGGGATACTGTTTACGGTAAACACTTAGCTGAGGATGTATCAACAGCCGAAATCTGAGCCTTATCTCTCTATAATTGTTATGCGTTTTTGCAGCGCTATAACGCTACAAAAGGCAGCAAAAACGCATACTGAGACACTCCGTCTGTGTGTATGTGTGTGTGTGTTCGTCTGCCCTGGTGTTTCTACTCGCCAACCACGTAAGCTTTGACGCTGAAATTTTGCCGGTGTGTTCTTTGGCCAAGTGTGGATTCAGGAGCGTGATATCAACTATCAAGCATGTTTACGTCTCACTCACGAAAACATAAAATTTCTGACGGGAAAACCCTATCTCGGGAACGAGAAAAGCTAGAAAGCTGAAACTTTAGAGGAATGTTCTTTACTCATGTGCAACCAAAAGATTTTAAATTCAATTCCTTAAAACCGCCTGAGACTCGCGTACGGACATGTGAGGGTGTTGGCGGAAAAAATGCTGACAAGGAAGCGAGAAAAGCTGAAAAGCTGGAATTTTAACAGAATGTCACCTACTCGTGTGCGACTAAAAGATTTCAAATTCAGTTATTCTAGTGGAGTCTTTTTCGCACACCAACAACTTTCTATTTGTCCACAACTGACATGTCACACAACTGTACAATTGATTTCCTGAACTTCGAAGGCCAGTATGTCGCAAAGTCTAGCTACTGTGATTCCTTGTGATCTTGCTGCAGTATGAAACAGTGCAAAAACACATGATCGCACCGACCCGCCTGGTGCGTTTCAGCCTGGGTTTTGCTCTGTGCTCGCACCATTATTTGGTTGCATTTCATTTAATCATATATCCTGAATATCATCGGAGTACAGAAAATCCTAAAAGTACCATAATACGAGTACAGTTTATTTATATATATATATATGTGTATATATATGTACATATATATGTACGTATATGTGTATGTATATATATGTATACATACATATTTAAGGGTAAGCTAAATTGCGACTATAAAATTGCGACTATTTAAGGGTAAGCTAAATTGCGACTACGTAATATATATGTATACATATATATTACGTATACGTATATACAAAACTGCGTATATATGTACTATATATGTAAAACTATATATACAAACTATGTATATAAAATTGTTTTACATACATGTATATGTGCAGAGCAGTTTTATTATGCGTTTTTGCTGTGCAGCGCTATAGCGCTGCTACAGCCAGCAAAAACGCATATTGTC